ACGACGACCCCCACCCCCACCACTAAAAACACTACGTCCACCACCACCACTACAACCACCACCACCACTACGACCACCACCACCACTATGACCACCACCACCCCCACCACCAATGCAGGTGAGTCTTCCTCCTTGGTGGCACCCCTTAGCCACGTCCCTACTCCCTGACCTCCCCACCGCACCCCAAGAATTCTCCAGGTGGCTTCGCCCTCCTGGGGTTGCTCCGGGCTGTGTCACCCACGTCTTGGCGTGCCTCTTCCAGGTCAGTGCGAGAACGGGGCCACGTGGGACGGCATCAAGTGTATATGTCCCGGCGGGTTCTACGGGGAGCGTTGTGAGATGGCCATCTGCCTCAACGGTGGCACCTGGGAGAACGGCGTTTGCCTCTGCACCGAAAATTTTGAGGGTGCTGAATGCCAGTACGCCAAGGAGGTCATCGAGTTGAAAAATGGTAGGCAACCATCCCAACCTGGGGTCCTTCTGTGGGATGTGGAAGCCAGGATGTGGGCTGAGGTCACCTGAGAGGAACCAACCTGGAAATGGGGGCCACTATGGTGGGACCGACCTGGGAATGAGGTTGGGTCACCTCATAGGGACCAACCTGGTGCCCTGACTAAGGGCACTGAGGGTGGGACGGGGACGCTCCAGTCCATTGCTTACGGGTCTCCTTCTGCTTGGTGAAGTGACGGTGAACGCAACGGTGGAGATGAAGACGAAGGTTGACAACAGGAATTTCACAGAAGACCTGAAAAATAAGTCCTCTCAAGCTTTCAAGGACTTTGAGAAGGAGTTCAAGACGAAGGTCAGGGCACAGCGATGCCGGGGCCGTCCACGTGCTGGAGCAGCGCCCTTTGGGGGGCTCTTCGGGGCAGGACGGGGCTGGTGCCCGGATCTCCCCATGGTTTCTCCTTGTCTTCCAGATGAATGACGTTTACAAGGACATACCGGGCTACCAAGATGTGGTGATCTACGAACTGACGTGAGTGTCCACCAGGGGTTGGGTGGTGTGTCCTCATGGGGTACTCCATCTGCTCTGGTGTGGGGATTTGGGGTGAAGGCACCTACAGGGGTCAACTCTGTAGGTTGGGGCAGCCTCAACGCTCCAAGTTCTGTCCCTGGAGCTCCTCCAGGATGGTCCAAGCCCCACGTAACAGCGACCGCACTGTCCCTCCGCACCGGGGGACCCCAAATTTGTCCCAGTTGGGTCTCCTGCAGTGCGGCCATGCTGAGCCACCACTGCCCCTTCTTCTCGCAGCCAGGGCAGCATTGTGGTGAACTACACGGTCCTCCTGAAGGTGATGGCCAACACCAAGGTCAACGAGACGGTGAAGACCATCTCCCAGAGCCTTGTCAACGCCCTCACCAGCAACTCCAACTGCAGTGAGAGCTGTGAAGGAAGCAACTGTGAGTGACACTGGTGGTCGCCCCCCCCAATGCATCAGTTGGCACCAGGGCAAGGTCCTTACTGGTGGGGGTTGAGCCCAAGGGCCACCACCAGCAGTTGCTTTCTCCATTCCAGGTGACTTCTGCTTCAACCCTAACTTCACCAACGTTGCTGGCTATGGCGTGGAAGAGGTTGAAACAAGTAAGTGAGCCCATGGGACGTTTGGTCCCCACCTCAGGACCCCCTTTGAACCCCATCTCTGCTCACCCTGAGCCCTTCACCTCCACCCTTAGACCTGTGCGACGCCCTTGTTGAGGAGGACCTCAGGATCCACTACACCCCAGTCGTCACCGCCACCGGTGTCCTCTGCATCACCAGATGTGACAAACGATCCGCTGACCCTTACGTCTGCGTCCACGGCAAATGCACCTTGAAGCGCGCGGGACCAGAGTGCGAGTAAGCACCTCCTTGTGCATCCAACCCCCCTTCTGCCCCCAAATATGCTCCTCTGGGTTTGGGGTGAGGCCGGCATGGTTCTCACCACCTGGACGTCCCCACCAGGTGCTCGGACACGGCAGCGTTCTGGTACCAAGACAGCATCTGCAGCTCACGGATCAGCAAGATCGGGGTGGCCGTAGGGGTACCGATGACCGTGTCGGTCATGGCCATCGCCATCTTCACCGTCTTTTTCATGCGGGCTCAGAGGCAGAAGGAAGTGTACAGGTAAGTGCATCGCCGTGGGGGGTGTGGGGATGTGTGTGTTGGTCCCATAACTTCTCATCTCCCTCTGTCCCACCACGCAGGGAGAAGTTGAGCTCCCGCATGGACCTCTATTGTGATGCAGATGAAAGCTGGACCAGGTCTGAGGGCTTTGCCATCACCAACCATGCAGCCACAGGGGAAGGTAACGGGGATGTACAGCGGTGGGTTTTGGGGGTGTTGGGGGACTCATGGAGCCACTGGGGGTCCACACCACCTCTCTTTCCCCTCTCCTCTGCAGGCTCAGAGACCTCCAGCGCCACCTCTGTCCACCTGGAGAAGGTGGACACCACACAGAAGGTGGGTGGACATCCCCAGGACCCCGACGCTGTTCGCCATTGCGGTGGGGCCAACTCACCACACCCCCATCTCACCCCCATCTCTGCTTCCTCTCCAGATCCAGATCCAACGACCGACCGTCATCATGCCCTGAGTGGAGCCACCCAAGAGGCAGCAGCAAGCAGAGGAGATGGTGGACACACGGGGTTGGGTGGGGGGTTTTGAGATGACAAACAAAGAATCCACCCTCCTCTTCTTCCCTGTGTGGCTGTTTACAACAAGACTTTCTATAATTTAATAAAACACTAATTTTACTGTCACCTGCCCATTTCCGCATACCGTCGGGGACACGTGAGGTGGTGCCCGTGGGGCGGAGGTGGCCTCGGTTGAAGGTCACAGCTCTGCAGTGGGATGCAAATGGCACCAAAACCACCTATGAAGCAGAAAGGGAAAAAGTTTGGGCTGCGTTAATTGCTGAACGAGCAATTAGGAATTGTCACCTGCTCGCCCCAAAGGTGCAAGTCCAACAGGTGACGCACATGGGAGAAAGTAATAGTTCCCACCCTCGGGGTTAAATATCAGCCCAGAGGTTCATCCACACCTCCTGTCCGTGGGGAAGGGGACAAAGGGCTGTGGGGTGGAGAGCAGCGGTGGTGGCTTTGGAAGGGGACGACACATGGAAGGGGTCCCAAGGTGGTGCCATCCACAGACAGTGTGAACATGGAGGGGGTCCCAAAGCGGTACCACCCATTGATGGTGGGACCATCGAGGGGGTTCCAAGGTGCGACCACCCATTGATGTTGAGAAAATCAAGGGGGTCCCAAGCTGGGAGGGCAGCGGTGGTGGCTTTGGAAGGGGATGACACATTGAAAGGTTTCCCAAGGTGGTGCCACCCATGGATGGTGAGAACATGGAGGGGGTCCCAAGGTGGTACACCCCACGGATGATGAGAACATGGAGGGGGTCCAAGTTGGGACCATGCAGAGATGGTGAGAACACTGAAGGGGTCCCAAGGAGGTAGCACCCACACATGGTGAGAACATCAAGGGGGTCCCAAGGTGGTACCACCTACAGATTGCGAGACCATCCGGGGGTCACAAGTTGGGACCACCCACGGATGGTGAGAACATGGAGGGGGTCCCAAGGTGGGACCACCCATTAATATTGAGAAAAATCAAGGAGATCCCACGGCTGTACCACTACGGATAGTGGAACCATCAAGGTTGTCCCAAGACGGTACCACCCGCGGATGGTGGGTTGTCACCTCCCTGGGGTCACCACTGTTCCCACGGAGGGGGATGGGGAAGGCGGAAGCGTGCCCAAGCTCGCGTGCCATGGTTTGGGCCCTGGGCCAAATTCACACCCTGCCCTGACCCCAGTGCTAAAATTAGCCATGTATTTATTTTATTTTTTTTTTTTTTTCCCCCATCCTATGTCACCCGGCAGCTGGGAAGTGTGCGTCATGTGGGGTGGGGTGGGGAGGGGACAAAGTCCAACTGCTACCTCAGGGGTGTGGGCAGGTGTGGCCCCAAGTCCTCCCTGGCAGATCCTGCTGTGGGGCAGGAGGGTCGCCCTCCATGGGTGATGGGGTCCCGTGGGTGGTGGGGGTCCCGGGGGGGCGTTGTCCCCAAAAAGGGGGGATTCACCCCAAAAAAAAGGGGTGGTAACAACCTCTTGCCCCTTCCCCAAGTCTACACCAGAGGTCTTCCCAGTACAAACCAGTGTCACCAGAGCCTTTCCAATGTCTTTATTGGAAGAAAAAAGGGGTCCAGCCCCAGTTTGGGTATTTTTTTGGGGGGTGGGGGGTGTGTCACACGTGAAGTGAGGTTGGAGGGGAAGGAAAGTGGGGACATGACCTTGGAGGTGGGGGTGGTCATGGCCCGAAAGTGCCAATGGATGCGAGGTTGTGACCTGTCCGGCGATGACAATTAGTGAGGTCACCACCCAACAAACAAACAAACAAACAAAAAAGGGGGTCGTGACCTGGACGTGGGGTCACGACCCTCAAAAGTGCTGACAAGAACAGGATGAAGACCCCTGGTGTGGGGTCAAAGTCGTGTCCCCCTCTCCCACGGAAGAGGGTCCGGACTCTCCCACAGCGCTGGGGCAGCCCCATCCTGCCAGTGATGTCCACGGAGGGTGGTGGTGGTGGTCATGGTGGTGGTGGGGTGGAAATCATCATCCTGGTGTCATCCCCCCCCACCACCCCACCATGGTTCAGAGCTGCGTGGAGAACTTCTCCGGTCTCGGGACCTGGAACTGCCGGGATATGGGGTGGGGGGCGGGGGAGAGAAGAAATAAAGAGGGTGTCATCAGGAATTGGGGTGTCCCCACTGCCCTGTGTCCCACCAGGGTGGGATGGGATACTCACCTGTGCTGACGTGTTCACGGACTCAAGGTCAACCTGGAAATTGTCCGTGGGCTGAGCGCCTGTGGGATGAGGGGGGTCAGCAGGGGTGCTCGAGGTGGGGATGGGGGTCACAAAGCGGTTCCCCCCAACCCCATGGGGTCACTGAGGACCCCCCCACCCACACACCCACCTCTGTTCTGGAGGGTGAAGCTTCCCGGAAGGCTCCACATCTCAGGCATGTCCTCGTACCACTTCTGCTTCATCGCCTTCTGCATGCTGGAGACAAGGGGTGGGGGATACACGTCAGGTGGTCACCACCAGCAGGATGGTCCCTTGCATGGACCCCCCACCAGCTCCTCCACCTGCCCCCCACAAAGGCCCAAGGTGTCCCCTCCCACCACCATGGTGGACCACGCTGCCCATCCAGGATGACAAACATCTTGCATCACACATTTCAAAATATATCTATATCTCAATTG